TCTGTACTCTTTAAATTTTCATCTTTATTTCAAGTTTATTATTTAAAGGATTCACTCTCCCACTGTCCTGCTTTTCTGAGCAGAAATGAAATGAGTTATCTTACCATCTAGATTCTAGCGGGAACTCAGTGTTTTTGTCCAAGGCCCATTGCTACAAGGAAACCATGACTCCCCCTTTAATATTTATATTCTTTTCAATACTATTTCTATTAAAGGGAAATGTTGCACAAGTGACCATTGTCAGAAACACAGGTTTGTGTTCATTAAAATATTACAGGAGATATGAATATGCTGTGTAAGCCTTGGAAAGAAGTGGCAGTGATGGGGGGATAGTAATTACAAAAAAAAAAAAAAATCATGAAATCCAATTCAAGTAGCATCAAATATATGGAAGAAAGCATCTGACTTGCTTAAAAGACAATGGGTTCATCTAGCTTTACTCATTTAAAAAAAATAAGTTATTCAGAAAATGTGCCAGGCAGTGGTCTAGTTTCTGAGGACACAGCACAGAAATGTATAAGAGAAGTTAATCTGATGGTAGCTGGATGGGAAGATACTTTGGGTAATCAATTGTGTATAATATTCCCCAGTTTCCACCCTAACCTAAAAGAACTGAAACAGTTCAAGCTTGAGGTTGTTCCTTCATGAAATGGTATTTGGTAAATTTCTTCCAGACATTTCTTTTCTCCATGCCTGTTTGCTATGGCCTAAAATTCTATCAGGAGAAGATAAAGCATTGATTCCATAATTACAGATAAATAATAAAAGATTCAACTGTCAAAAAGAACTATCACATTATCTGAAATACACTCACTTTAAAAAAGTATATAATTAGGTAATAAAACATACAAGTGAATGTGATCAAGTTCTTTCTAGGGGAGAAAATTAGAGACAGAGGATAACCACAGACATATTAAGATAGGGTTAGAATCATCAGTGAGAGAAAAAGAAAAAAAAGCCAACTTCACCAAAATGTAATTAATTCTGGCTCTGTCTGCCTTCAACTCTGTGGACAAATAAAATGTGCAGACAGAAGACATTTTGAGCCATACACTCTCTATACAGAGGGAGGAAGCACATACATCCATCATAAGCTGATGAAGTAGACCAACATAACCTCATATACTTAACAAGTTTATTTGTGGCACTTATTTGTTGACTGGTTTAACACTCAACTTCTTAGAGACTTAGTTTTGGAGGACTGACTAATCAAGGAATTTTTGTACTTCCTCAGGAAAAACTTAAAGCTAAGTACGAATTCATTTATACAGGTATCTGCCTCAAAACAGTGCTCTCTCCCTGTCACAGTGGGATAAAAGAGGATTACTAAAAAGGATAAAACATCTTATCAAAAAGAAGATGGTAATTCAAGACTAAGATACATTATTTGATTTTTTCTGCCAACTAATGGTTGTTCTTTACTTGTCAAAATAACATTTATTTATCTGCTGAGGGAAATAGTTACTATCTCAAAGACTACAAAAATACTCTCTGTTCAAAAAAAGACCGTATTTTTTTTTTAATCAGACACGGCTATCATCTCACAATGACTTTTGAATTATTGCAAAGAAAGGAAAATTATTATTCATACGATAAAAGAAATTTGCACATAGTTTATTATGTGAAGCCAATGAAAGGAGAGAACGTATAAAAGTGTTGAAAAGGAATAAAACATATATTTTTCTGCAAATTAATTTGAACGGAATAAACTTTTTTTAATGTTGACAACACTGTAAACCCAGGGGGTGCTGCAATATGATGAATCAATTTTGTTTAATTTTATTGTTGGAACATGGCACTTATCTGTCATGCCAACCTTCTTACACTATAACCTGAAGATATTTAGATCTGAATGAGAGTACTTTAAAAACATACACTGATAACTTCATGGCAAAGTTTGATGTAGTGTTTAGGGTAGGACATAAAGATACTTATTCCTTTCAGTGTGGGCCTTAATCCTGGTGGTTAATTGAAAAAACAGGATAGATTTTAAATAACGAATTCAGACAATTTATTTAAAACTTCAGCCCAAATATGAATATTTTTATTGTAGAGAATAATTAATACATAAAGAAATGAGAGAAGAGAGGAAGAAAAATAGTACTAGCCAAGAATCAACTTTAATTTAAACCAACTCTATGTTTGCACTGAAATTTTTGTCATAGCATCAAACAATTCTTTAAAAAAAATCAGGTAACTAATTAGATACCTAAATACAAATCAAAATGAAAACCCTAGTTGTTTTGACTTAATTTATCTTTTACTTTTAAGGCTATTAAACAGAATTATTTTAAAAGATTTATTCAATGTGCTAAGACAGTAAAATTTTAGCATCTCTGACACAGTATCTTCAAAACCACTCTCTAAAATCCTTGAACATTCTACTTGGAGCAAGGGTGACTTTAGATGAAATGGGAAAACATTAGGTTATGAATTTGTTTCTGTAATTTCTACCTACTTTTTACTGTAGGTTTTAGACCATTTCCAGCCTCATTTTGAGACTCCTCTGAAATGGAGGATGACTCCTGGCATAGGACAGTGAAGGCCCGATATTAATTGCCTGTTGAGAACTTACAGACCAAAGCAACATAAATACATCTGCCACGTGGTTAGAAAAAGAACAAAGAGACCCAGGGGTGAGCTATTTGGGGAATAACTATACAGCTGTCTGGTAATCCTAACCTCTACCCAGTTATGGCAGCATCTCTAGAAAATATGGTTGGCAAACTCAGGCCTGCATGAGATGATATATACAAACAGTTGCCCAGATATGATGCTCTGTGGTTTTTCATTTAAGTATCACGGGACTAGTCAGTGTCTATCACAGACTATGCTTGGGGAGTTAAGGGTCTAGGGCACCAAAATGACCTCTGCAATATGCATCCAAGTACTCTGTTCTCAAGCATTTTATGAAACATTTTTCTCTTTAGTGGAAAAAATCCAGTGAAAACCTCATGCAATTTTATCTAAATACAAATTCAGAATAAGTACTTTTATTTTAACTCCAATTATTTCAGATGGTAAAATAAACTAGTTTTCTCATCTATGCAATATGTGAACTGTTTTGGGTAGTCTCTATTATAATCTCTTGAGCTCTAAGATTTCCTTTCTTCATCTCATATCTTTTCCCTAACCTGTAGGTACTCAAGAAAGGGCCAATTATTAAATCAGTTAAAATTTATGTCTGTCTATTTTTCTTAGGAAACAAGTCACCTTGTAAGGAAACATGGTCTGTTGAGTAGAAAAGATACAAGAAGGGAAAACAGATAAGGAGGGGTGAGGAGTTGGAGAGATTATAGACAAACTTATCCTGAGCAATGAAGAGCTTCCCCCCAAATGGATAAAAAAACACAACATAATAAAGGTCTTGGTGCATTGTAGTGAAGCTAAAAGGAGTAGAAACCATGTATCTTAGGTCTATGACTAAAAGAAACCACGCTATTACTACGTTCTATTCTACCTTCCAAGATAACATTTGATATTTGAACTCCACTTGGCAAAAAAGGTGATTAACAATAATAAAAAAAAATGAACAAACAAGCAAACAAAAAGATTAGTCCCTTCCAGTTAGTTCTGAGAAATAGACTCATTACAATTTGCCCCCTTGGCGGAAAAAAGACCCAAATACAGACATTCCTCCTTCCCGAGGGAGATTCTTATATTTAATGGAAAGGAACACCTTTTCTAGATATCTGTCTTTGCTCCATGTGTTTTCCATTGTTTGGGTGTATATCAACTTGGAGTACAAGGTCTTTTTTTTTTCTTTATTTAGACTAAACTCTTCACCAGTCTTGATGCTAATGAGGTTTATCTGCAGTGGGAAGATAGACTTCCATTTGAGTGGAATTCCATGAAGAAAGAAAAGGGATCATAAAGACATCTGATAAAACCAAACACCTCTCTATTCAATTTTACAAACTTGTGAATTATTATGTTTGTTTGTGTTTGTGGAGTTGCCTCTTTCAATATGTTTTCAATAGACAACAAGGCACCAAAAACCCTGGGTAAATAATAGAAGTTAAAAATAGTTACTACCTAACAATGTTACTGGAACAATTAGAGTGCAGAAAACTCTCACATGAGAAGCCAACTAAAAACAAAGGTTGGCATGATGCTGGTTCTTTGGTTCTTTTCAAATTAATAAAACACACTTGCTCTAAACTCATCTCTCTCACTTAAAACTATTTGGGTTGTTTTGATTTGTTTCCAACCCCCACTAAAATATACAATCGTGGATCCTTTGTGCAATTCTGCTTTTTTCCTTCTTCTTTTTTATATATATCCAGAGTACCAGCATACATTTGTATGCATGGATGATACATATGCCTTATTTTCATACTCAGAGAGCATGGGAATTATTCTTGAAGAAAGCCTCTTGCTAGCTAGATTCCATTAGGTCACATTATTCAAATGCAGTATAACACAAAATTCATTTGTTCATCTGGTGTCTAGTTGCTAAGGAACACAGCCAAAAAGTTAACCTTTGCAACACAACAGACCAGTAGAGAACCTGAGCACTGTCCATAGGAACGTACAGAGCCTCTGAGAAGGGGAACTACACTTCTGTATTCAAACTAGAAGACCATAGCATTATTAGGAAAGAACTATTTTTTACCACTGGAATAAAAACAGTGACTTCCATTCTCTTTTCAAAAAGCCCAGGAGCTTTTCTAGACTCATGACCTCTGATGTCACTTAACATATTTTAAACAGAAGTCCTATCACTTCTGCTTTTAAATAGCAAAACGAGACTCCTGAAAAACATAAAGGTTCTGAAATGCCCCATCAAGTCTACCAAAGGAAACAATTTAACTTTGTTTTTCTTAAGGGCAAACATCTACAGAGAGATGAATCTGACAAAGCAGTAAACACGATCTGAATTATTTTCAAAAGTCTTACCTAAGTTTACTAGACACATGTAAAAGGTGCTATCTATTTTAAAGACCTAAAAGATGTTATTATGTCTTAGCGTATCATAAATTTCTAAAAGATATACTCACATTTTGCTGTCACTTTGTACCCCCCCAGAGGAGGGGCATGGCCTTCTAATGCATCAAATCCAGCAGAAACTAGGACCATGTCTGGATCAAACTCTTTGGCCACAGGCGTCACTACAGTCCTGCACAGTAAAAAGGCAACCAGTTACACATGGGAATGGTGAATACCTTTAAAAATTGTGCAATGAAAATGACTTGGCACATCCTCAAGAACTTCCCAAGAATAAAGAAAAGGGGAAAAGAAAACACTATTTGAATGGATCAAAAACTTATCATTTCCTTAACAGTGAATCACTATTATTTTAGCATCCCAATTCAGTCTTTTTTCTTTCATCTTTTTTTCCCTCTAAATTAAAAAAAAAATGCTTTGCAGGTACATTCTAAAGCCCATCATATTACATGCACATCTGTGGCTGTTTTATCCCACTGCCTATAAAACAGTGCTTCTTCCAAGGGAGTGACTAATGTTTTACAGAGGAAAGTCGAAGCTTTAGTGAAAACCCGGCTTGCTCCAGTTAGTGAGAACTTGGTGTAAATTTGAACTATAAATTTCTTTTGAGAAAAAGTTGCTTTTCTAACTGAAAAAAAATTTTTTTTCAAATATTTGTCATGGTAGGGGGTAAATCCTGCAAAGGAAAAACACAAAATTCCTTTAATAGACTCCAGACTATAATGTTAAGTGAGTCCAAGGTCAGAGACACCAGGAATGTGGCAGCCTCATCCATGACAGCAATCCCTGCTGGCCCCACTCAGACACTTCAGCATTTACCTCTTCAGCCTTCTCAGGTCACCCCAACCCCTTTTTACTCAGGGCTGGATTTGAAAGAAAATGACTAATACATGGTACTGGGCTTTGTAAAATAAAATTTAAAAAATTAATGTAGGCTTCGAGACCAATGTGCCAATATTAACATTCAAATTTCCAAGGACTATTTAATAAGATGGGGAAACTGCACACAATAGCAAATTTAAAAAGTGGTAAGGTCTCTGTTGTGTGTTTAAGAGAAATAACTGAACTAAATATTAAAATTGCTATCCTTAAGTAGTGACAATATTAAGTTCTTTTCATTTTTTTATGTTTGCAAATTTCTTAAATTTTTAAAGTGAAAAACCACATATTAGTTCTACACTTAAAAATTTAAACAAGAAGTTGTTGAAGTTATAAAACAAAAAAATACTTATTTGAAACTCATAAATGAATGAAATGTTTTTCATAACTCCACTACTGTTACAAAATTATAAAATCTCAACACTTCAAACTCATAAATGTACATGTAAATGACTTGCATGGTAGTCTTTTTAACAATTGGAAAGCCACTCATATCTGAATTAGCCCACCAGTGAAATTAAGTGAAAACCTAATTTTGTTTACTATGTACAGTTTCATTATTTTATTCTTCAATAAAATTAAGAATCTCTAATACAGCTACATTATCAGGAGAGATATCTTGAATCCTTTTCCTTCCCAATAATACCAACACTTACATTATAATTTTCATAAAAGTATTATATATTACCAATTCACTACTTTTCATATGAGTGAAATACCATGTGATATATGTATCTGGGATATTATATATTGGACTAAATTGTCTCAATCAAGACTGTTTTATCAAGGAACTCCATCTATTTAGTATGATTAATACTATGTATTCCTTTTGAAAACAATACTCTTAGGAAAATATGGAGGTAGATGACTGAACCAAGTTGTCATCCAATCACATGCATCATAGTAACCAATTTTCCATCTCCTTTCCCTCTCTTTGGAAAATTTCTCCCCCCTCCTCCTCTTTTCTCCATCATTAGTCTACACTTGTAAGACTGATTGAAGGGTAAACATCCTTCAAGGCACAGCTCACTATCTTCTCCAAAAGGGCTTCTATCTACATATGGATATTAAACATATATGGATATATTTTTGAAGGACAAAGATAATAAAGGAGACAAGAATTGCCAATTTGAAAATATGACAAACATGGAGACAATCTACAGAGGGGAAAATTAAAACAGAAGTCTAAGTGTCTGCAGAGAGGAAGCTACAAAAAGCAAGTTGACTTTTCTCTTTTCCTGGAGAAACAAATGGACCAAAGAGAAAATACCTACAGAGAATGACACTTGTCAGTCACTCAGACCAACAGTCAGGTTTTTTCCTCAGTCTTCCCATAGTGAATGTACCACTCAAAAGCCCCACTCACCATACAGAGTTCCCACTTATCTTCTCAGTGCCCTTTTCTCAAATATGAAGGACTATTTGAAGAAAATTTCTAGGATAAAAGATAACAAAACTAACATACAAACAAGGGAACTCAGAAAACCAGAGAAAATTCAGGGAAGACACTACAATTACCAAAATTAGGATTACCCTCAAAGATATAAAACAGTACATTTGGAAAATGAAAAGTGGGTGTTATTAAAAGAAGAAGAAACAACAAACAAAACATAGAATAGACTGTTTAAAAGATAAAGTTGACAAGTTCTTTCATAAAGTACAACACAAAACAGAGACATGGAAAGTTGACAACACTTGATAGAACAATTAAAGAACCCGTTTAGGAAGTCAACATACAAAGAAAATTCTAAGGGATTTTTTTTTCTTTTTTCCCAGTCTCATTGAGAAATAATTGACATAGAGCACTGTATTAGTTAAGGTGTCTAGCATAGTGGTTTGAATTATACGTATTGTGAAATGATTACCACAATAGGTTCAGCCAACATCCTTTTCATCTAGATAAAATAAAAGGAAAAAGGAAAAAGAATTCCCATGATAAGAATTCTTAGGATTAACTTTCATAATATTTCCCAGTATATCATACAGCAGTGTTAGCTAATGTTATCATGTTATACATTATATTCCTACTACTTATCTTCTATTAGTTTGTACCTTTGATCACCTTTCTCCAATTCCCCTTGCCCTCACAATCTGCCTCTGATAACCACAAGTCTGATCTCTTTTTCTGAGTTTGTCTTTTTTTTTTAGTTTTGTTTTTTAGATTCCATATATAAGTGAGATCATACAGTATTTGTCTTTGTCTGACTTATTTCACGCATTTAGCATAACACCTTTCAGGTCCATCCATGCTGTTGAAAATGGTAGGATTTCCTCTTTTTTATGGCCAAGTAATATTCCATTGTATCTACACACCAAAGTTTCTTTATCCATTCATCCACAATGAACACTTGGGTAGTTTCTATGTCCTGGCTATAATAAATAATACTGCTACGAACATGAGGGTGCAGACTCCTTTCCAGTTAGTGTTTTCATTTCCTTAGGATATATTCTCAGAAGTGGAAATGGTAGATCATAGGATAGTTCTCAATTTAATTTTCTGAGGATTCTCCATACTGTTTTCCATTGTGGCTGCACCAATATACAATTCTACCAAGAGTGCATAAAGTTTCTGTTATCTCCACACCCAGGCCAACATTTGTCATCTCTTATCTTTTTTATGATGGCCATCTAACAGACCCGAGGTGATATCTCACTGTGGTATTAATTTGCATTTCCCTAATGATTAGTGATCTTGAGCATCATCTCATGTACCTGTTGGTCTTACGTATATCTTCTTTAGAAAATGTCTATTCAGGTCCTTTGAGATCATTTTTAAAAATTGGGCTGTGTTTTTTTCTATTGAGTTGTATGAGTTCTTTATATATTTTGGATATTAACCCCTTATCAGATATATGATTTGCAAATATTTTTTCCCATTCCATAGGTTTTTTCATTTTGTTGATGGTTTCTTTTGCTGTGCAGAATCTTTTTAGCTTGACATAGTCACACTTACTTTTTATTTTGTTGCTTGCACTTCAGATATCATAACCAAGTAATTGTTACCAGGGCCCATGTTAAGAAGCTTTATTCCTATGCTTTCTTCTCAGGGTTTCATGGTTTCAGGACTTAAATTTAAGTCTTTAATCCATTTCAAGTTAATTTTGTAACTAGTATAAGATATGGGTTCAGTTTCATTATTTTATGTGTGAATACCCAATTATCACAGCACCGTTTATTAAAGAGACTGTTCTTTCTTCACTGAGTATTCTTGGCTTCTGTCTCAAATATTAGTTGACTGTTTATGCTTGGGCTTATTTCTGGGCTCTGCATTCTGTCCCATTGTTCTATTTTTCTGTGTGTGCATGTATGTGTGGGTGCACACGCCAGTACCATACTGTTTTGACGAATATAGCTTTATAGTATAGCTTGAAATCAGGAAGTTTGATGCTTCCTGCTTTGTTCTTTCTCATGATTTCTTTGACTCTTTGGAGTCTTTTGTGGTTTTTCTATCTCTTTTTTAGAGTGTGTTTTTTCTATCTCTGTAAAAAATGCCATTGGAATCTTGATAGAGATTGCACTGAATCTATATATGGCATTTTATTATTTTTGTCACTGTTGTAAATGGGATTGATTTATTTCTTTTTCAGAAAATTCATTGTTAGTGTATAGAATATGGTACTGATTTTTGTATGTTAATTTTGTATCTTGCAACTTTACTGAATTCACTGATTAGATTTTTTTTTTAAAAAAAGGATTTTATTTATTTATTTTACAGAGAGAGGGAGCACAAGCAGGGAGAGCAGCAGGCAGAAGGAGAGGGAGAAGCAGGTTCCCTACTGAACAGGACCCTGGGATCATGACCTGAGATGAAGATGGACGCTTAACTGGCTGGGCCACCCAGGCGCCCCTGTGATGTCAGTTTTAATGTCTCCTTTTGCACTTATAATTTTATTGATTTGGGTCTTTTCTCCCTTTTCCTTGGTCTAGCTATATGTTTGTCAATTTTGTTTATCTTTTCAAAGAAGCAACTCTTACTTTGGTTAATCTTTTCTATTATTTTTTAATTAACATATAATGTATTATTTGTTTCAGGGGTCCAGGTCTGTGATTCATCAGTCTTAACACAATTCACGGTGCTCACCATAGCACATACCCTCCCCAATGTCCATCACCCAGCCACCCCATCCCTCCCACCCCCCTCCACTCCAGCAACCCTCAGTTTGTTTCCTGAGATTAAGAGTCTCTTATGTTTGTCTCCCTCTCTGGTTTCATCTTGTTTCATTTTTCCCTCCCTTCCCTATGATCCTCTGCCTTGTTCTCTATTTCATTTATTTCTTCTCCAATCTTTATTAT